GTGTGATTAAAGAGTCAGTGGTATTTTCATAAGAAACCCAGTGCTCCATCCAAATTTTGACACGAGCGGAAACCTTTTGCTTCCTTACATTCAGATGAATATGATATTTTTCATTTCTGGTCTCCTTGCAGAGCGCTCTATAACAGTTTCCCCCATACTTTCTGAAATGGGCTTATGAATATAAATAAGCATAACTCAAAGATGCTTTGGACAAAATGCCTCATGTAACCTCTCAATTTTAATGTTACAATCTGCTGGATCTGTATATCTTACTTGGCTGCATGTATCATTCTTGTATGTAAAGTTAGAAATACAAGTATGAGATTTTTTATGATTTTAAATGTGCAAATGTGAGCCACTAGTGGAGCACCCAGAAGCCTTAAGGACTGGGTGATCAATTTAATTACTTGAGAACAGCCTTGTTTATCCTTTAAGTCTAAGCAGTGGTTGGGCCTAAGAAAACATGTGACCATACCACCTGGTAGAGGATAGCAGTTTGACTAGGTAATTTTCCATAGAAGGTGGCGATTGAGATCAAAAGTTTCTCATCAAGTATGGAATCTATAAAAACAATGTGAATTGATCTGTCCCTTTATCTTTGGTTAGTGTGACACACCCATGATTTATTTGGGGTTTTGATCCCTTTTTCGGGGTTGGTTTCCTGGGTGATGTGCCCTAGAACTGCATTCTCCCAGAGCTAAAGTGGTAAGGTGTCTGCATTGCTCTTCACGGGAGAGGGGGCAGTTACCCCAACTCAGTGCCTCATCTAAGAGAGACAAGAGAATCTGCCCCAGCAGGACAGGGTGGTTTGGAGCCCCAGAGAACTAGAAGGTAAGTGTCAGTGGCATAATCAACACATCAGAGAATCATCCCAAGGGGTCATCTGTGACTGCACCCTGGCAAAGTAGCACAGCGAGTAGGGTCAATGCGCACAGCTGGTTGCTCTGGATGCTAGCAGTGATTTTAAGCGTTTTGTAAGCATTGTGTTTAGAGGACAGACATAGTGGTTACTGGTTTGTTATTTTCTGTTTGATTATATGAGGGAAATAGAGGCAGGAAAATCAGCAAAATGAGTGAGAGTAGAGTTCAAATGAAGCAGGAGCTTTGCAGAATCCAAGCAACAGTGAAGGAGGCAGAACATAAAAGTCAAATGGACTTAAAGAAGCTTGAAATAGAGGTACAGGTGGCCAAGTAGCTGCTCATAAGTCATAAGAACATAAGAACATAAGAATGGCCGTACAGGGTCAGACCAAAGGTCCATCTAGCCCAGTAGCCTGTCTGGCGACAGTGGCCAGCACCAGGTGTCCCGGAGGGGGTGGACCGAAGACGATGATCAAGCGATTTGTCTCGTGCCATCCCTCTCCAGCCTCTAACAAACAGAGACCAGGGACACCATTCATACCCCCTGGCTAATAACCTTTTATGGACCTAACCTCCATGAATTTATCTAGCTTCTCTTTAAACTCTATTA